GGGTAACTCAGCCCTAAATGCAAAATCTTCATCAAACCTCAGGCTTCAGAGAGCTCTGCAGAAGAGGAGGCAGAAGGGATGGAGGGCACCGAGGAAATGGGTCTTCTAGACACAGCAAGACCGATGCAGATATGAACTCACAGAGACTGTGCCAGCCTGCACAGGGCCTGGATAGGTCTAAGCCAGATGGGGTTCCAGTGCTGAAGGGGGAGTGAATATGAACCCCATTTCTAGCCCAGAAACTACCTCCAGTTGACAACTGCTTGCAGAGGAACACTTAGTTTTCCCCAGGGGGGGGGGGGGGTTCTCAGTACACAAACCACACTTAAGGGAGGCCCTGTGCCCAGCAGTAGATGGCCAACGTGAAAACAACTCAATGATAATTTTTCAGAATTTTTACTCATATTGCTTTGTTTGTTAATTTTTGTTTATTATGGTTTCCAATTTTGTGTTTTTATGGGACTGTATATGTGTGTTTCTTGTGCTTTTTCTTTGTTTTGTTTTTTTATTCTGGTTTGTTTCCTTTTTTGTTTGCCTATTTGTTTTTGTTGTTGTTGTTTATCTAAAGAAAGAGAGAAAGAAGGAATGGAGTTGGGTGGGTGGCGAGGTTCTGGGAGGAATTGAGAGGGGAAGCAATGATCAGATTTATTGGATGGAAAATTTTCAAAGAAAAAATAAAAACTATTCTTTAAAAGAGTAAATTCCAACTTTTATGTTGGAAGCAGACATTCCTGCCCCACCTTCAGGTCCAAGAGGAATATTATTATCTCTACAGCAACCAAACAAACCTGCCTTCTGCTTCACAAGGAGAGGCTATGCCCCATAGGCAAACACACTGCTCTACAGGGGAAGCTATACTCCATAGGCAAACAACCTTGGAGGTAGCTGGAACCCAGGCTGCCACATCCCTGGGACCAGATATTAGAGTCATGAATGGAACTGTCCCCTGATAGCAGCAATGACACCCCTTGACTGACCACTGTGAATAATCTTGGCTGGCCCTGGACCAGAAGAGGCTGTCCATGGCATTGGCTAGTGGCTCTGTGTGTGGACTCTGGAGTCAAGACCCCATGTTCAAATCCTAGCTCTGACACTTGAGTAGGCTACTAGCTGTGAAAAGCATTGGCTGCTCCTAAAGAAACCTAGGTTCAGTGCCAACAGCTACACTGGGTGGCTCACAGACACCTGTAACTCTGGAGGGGATCTGGTGCCCTCTTCTGGCCTTCAAGGGCACTGCATGCATGTGATGCACAAACTACACATAGATATACATATACACATAAAATACTAATACATACATATTTTTATATTTTTAAAGGTAAAACACAGTGTCTGTCTCTTGGGAGATTGCAAAACTGCATGCAATTCAATTGAAGGCACTTGGCAGAGAGCCGCAGGCACAATGGGGCCAATCAATGTTAACTGTAATTATTATTAATTACCCCACTATGTTGCCAAGCCTGTGGCCCTGCCTGTTTTGTAGCTCTCTAAACCACACAGTGCTGCTCAGCATTGCAAGGACATCAGACCACACCCACACAACCTATGTTGGTCCTCTCAGCCGTGCTGGAAATGAAATCCCAGGGCTGACACTGGGGACAGAACCTGGGGTTCACATGCTAGTCCTGTGCTCTACCACAGATCCAGCATCCCAGTCCCTCAGGTTCTTCTTAATAAATGGAAGCATCACGGTTTCTAAATCAGACACTCCTGTTCAAATCCCTACTTGCTACAAGCCTGCTGACTGGCAGTTTTCAGATGTGGAAGTTAGGTAGAGCCTATGAGATGATAGCCCTAGGTACAAAGTAAAGCCAGAAGCCAGGGCAGATGAAGAGGGTGGCCAGCCAGCAGCGTTAGCGTTGGCGAGAAAGTGCAGTGCTGGGCCCCCGTTTCACTACCATGGCTCCAGAGAAGGAGGTGGGGCAGGAGCTCTTGATGTCACCGGGAGAAGGCTGATACAATTAGCTTCTGCCTTTCATGAATATGTAGTGGGTGGAACAAGGTGGGTGACTAGGGTCAAATGACATAAGAGAGTCTTTTCCCCACCTCAAAAGTGGCGCATAGAGGGGCTGGAAAAATGGCTCAGAGCTTAAGAGCATTGCCTGCTCTTCCAAAGGTCCTGAGTTCAATTCCCAGCAACCACGTGTTGGCTCACAGCCATCTGTAATGGGGGTCTGGTGCCCTCTTCTGGCCTGCAGGCATACACACAGACAGAATATTGTATACATAACAAATAAATAAATATTTTTTTTTTAAAGAAGTGGCGTGTGGAGACCCAGGGCACCAACTGACTTGATGGCTCCCACCTGTGCTCTCATCCCAGCACTCGGGAGTGAGGCAGGAAGGGTGCGTGGAGGCTAGCCTGGGCTGAATGAAAACTAAAACATGGGCCACACACATGGTGGCACAGTCCTTTAATCTCAGCATTTAAGGTAGAGGCAGGTGGATTTCTGTGAGTTCAGGCCAGTCTGGCCTACATAATGAGTTTCAGGTGCACTTAGGCTGCATAGTGAGATGGGGAGGTCTCAAAAACAAAAAGAAAAAAAAATGGTCACGGAAACGCTGGCCAATCAGCACCCTCCAGGCACAGATCACAAGGAAGAGGGACTGGTGGGAAAGACGTGTGCTCTCTGGCGCCCCAACAGGCTGGCTGTGGTACTGCAACCCCATTGAACTTGGTAGTAACCAGTTTATTTGAAGGTTGAGGTCTCCTGGCCTCACTGTTCCTATGTCTTTGGATCACCTCCCATATCCACCCCGATATCTTGTGTCAAGATTGCTTCTGCAACACCCAAACTGAGACAGTTGTTTGCACTGTTAAAGTGGTCAGCCTCACCCCACAAGACTGAGTCACTGTGTCTACCATGTCACCCAAACCTCACACTGGGCAGGAGAGATGGCTCAGTGGGTAAAGGAGCAGAGAGGGGGGGTGGGCTGACCCAGCCTGGATCATAATTCTGTTCCACGAACGACTTCGAGTCTCATGTCCAAAGCCTATCCTCAAGTGAGCTATAAATGATATCTTCTATCTGGCCCTTCCTTGGGTGCACACAGACTGGACAGTCATCCCAGACCTCCCCTTGGGGACCAGGAACTCCAAATGTCTCTCCACCCTTAGCCAGGACTTCCCAAATGTCCCTGGGGCAGAGATACAGAAAGGCTTTGTGTTTATCCCTAAGGCTACAGGGCAGAGGACAAAGAGGATATGTCAGGGGACAGGGGCTCAACCCCCTAGTCCACTTCTGGCATCAGGTTCCACCCTGGAGCTCCCTGAGCGAGGGACAGGTCCAGACACCAGGGCCTGCTCTGTGAGGCCATACCCAGGAAAACGGGTTCTTCGGATCGATCCCCTTCCTGAGCCGCTGCTGTCAGACCTGGAATTAGCCACAGCACCTGCGGTGGGCAGGCACCTGGGGCAGTAGGGACCGAGCCAGGTGACCTTGGATGACTCAGTGTTAGGCGGTTGATTTCAGCCACATGGGGTGGGCGGGTGCTAAAGACCTCACGTCAGTCCAGCATCAGAGTCAGCTGAGTCACTGAGAAGCTGGGTGGCTACGAGGGAGCCAGGACCTCAGGTCCCTGTCTGTGCACTGGGGAGGGGCAGGATGCCATATGGCCCATAAGTAGAACCCCTGGCTAGAATACCCCAGTGAAGTCATGAGTGGGCAGAGAAACATTTGCTGAGTATGGGGTAAGGCTCTGAGTTCCACACACAGCACTGCAAAAACTCTGGTGAAGTGTATGTAGTGTGTAGCCAGGGCTGTGGTCAGGCCTGCGACCCCAGTACTCCGCCAGACTCTGGTGAAGTGTATGTGGTATGTAGTACGTAACCAGGGCTGTGGGAAGGCATGGGACCCCAGTACTCCGCTAGACCGAGAGGAGAGACTCATGAGTTCCACGGTAGCCTGCACTACATTGGAAGATCCTGTCTCAGAGCGGAAGTGTCTCCCTGTTAGGCCTGTGACAGGTATGATGTACCAGCAGTCTCCTTTGGGAGCCTTGGTCACCTGCCCTGAAGTTTTTTCCTTGACACTCTGAAGATATATTTAACCCAGTCTGCTTTTGTCACAAAAGGCAACTGATCTGTGTGGTGAGAACACAGATCAAGAGAAGGGGTAGAGAAAGGACTTAGGGGAAGGTCTGGGCTAGGCCTAGGTCTGGAGCAAGAAGGTCTGCTGCTGGGCCGGGAGTCCAGGGTCTGGCTTTTTAGGGGCACTGGCAGGAGTGGGAAGCGGGGGGGGGGGGGGGGGGGGGGGGGGGGGGGGGGGGGGGGGGGGGGGGGGGGGGGGGGGGGGGGGGGGGGGGGGGGGGGGGGGGGGGGGGGGTCTAAGGCCATTTGCTGTTTCTGTAGGTACTGGGGGACACAGCAGGTTCTGAACAAGGAAGACGGAGTTTGTAGGAGATAAACCATGGCAGCTGATGGATCAGGCTTCTCGCTTTGGTGAGCTACGTGTGAGAAAAACCACAGTGACAGGAGAGACAGATGTAAGAGAGACAGAAAGGAAAATGGAAAAGAATCAGAGAAGGAGAGATGGTGCTGGGAGATGAGAGTAGAGACGGTGCCAGGTGCAGGCAGGGGACCTAACAGAGACAACTGGCTAAGACCCTCAGGCAGCGCTCCCAGGACGGGGATGCAGATAGGCATCCCTCCACAGCTGAGGCAAAGACTGAGCCTACTCACACGCTTTGATTCTTCCCTGGAGCCAGGGAAACTGAGGCTGCCAGGTCTAGCCACAAGAATCTCCAGAGACCTGCCTGTTGCCCGCCGTCTCAGTGGGCCCCATACCTGCGTCACCACGTTATAAGTAAAGCCTAGATCCAAATAAGGTGAGGTCTTTGGGTAGGTGAGCTGGCCAAGTCCTTGAGAGCGAGCGAGTGGTGGCTGGCCCGGCAGTAGATTTGGGCCTCCTCCAAGACTCGCCCGCAGGAGGGCGGGCGCACATGCAAAGGCTATAAGGCCTGGTCCTCCACCCTCTGCTGCTCACTCAGCCCTGTGCCCACACCACGTAGAAGCCATGGAAGCCATCAAGAAGAAAATGCAGATGCTAAAGCTGGACAAGGAGAATGCCATCGACCGGGCTGAACAGGCCGAGGCAGACAGGAAAATAGCTGAGGACAAGTGCAAGCAAGTAAGAACCCTGTGCCGCGCTGGGCTGCTTCCGGGCTTCCCAGTAACTTCTCTGTGCTGATTCCTTCCGGTCTCAGGCTCGGCCTGAGAGTGGGCATCCCAGGAACTCTGGGGCCTTGACACTGCCGGAGGGTGGGGGTTGATACTGGGGAGGGAAAGGCAAGGTGCCAGTTGGGGAAATGGCTCAGTGGTAAAGGGATCTACCTCCAAGACTGATGACCCGCGTTCAGTCCCTGGGATCCACAGAGTGGAAGGAGAGAAGCTCCTGCAGTCAGCTGCCCTCTGACCTCCGCACTTGCACCACGACACTAGGAGGCATAATTTTCTAACAAAGAAAAGCTGAGGGGAGCCCCGTTCTTCCTAGGAGTCTGTGGGCAGCGACCCAGGTCAAGCTCTCATACAGCACAGGAGCCGCGCTTAGGCTGTGGTCTCCAGAGCCCCAGGTGTGAAGTCTGAAAGGAGCGGGCCTGGCGGTCAGGGTGTGAGTCAGGGCGGCTGTGTGTGGAGGCTTCCTCTCCCTGTGCATCACCTCCAGTGTGCGCACTTTGGTGTTGTGTGCAAACGTCGTGTTTCCTCACTACAGGGTCAGGAGTGAGGAAGATAAGATGGTCTGTCTGTCTGTCTGTCTGTCTGTGTGCTTCTGTCACAGACACAGGATGATCATATCTTGCTGGGGCTGTAGTGTCTGGACTCGCGTCCATGAGGTCTTATCAGCATGGCCATTGCCCAGTTGTGACAGCATCCTCGAGAGAGTGGCTGTGTGTGGAGAGAGGTGACCTGTGACCCGCTACAGTGTGGCCCACAAGTCTGGGTTCCAAGGAGCGGAGCATTGAGCACCCTGTATACCGGGCTCCTGTGACAAAGCCAGAGATCACTTCCACCCAGACAGCTTTGGAGCTGCCAGGAAGTTTGGGGCGCAAATGCCCAGGAGGCCTTGGGGGATTCCCTGAAGAGCCGATGAGGGGAGGGGGCAGTGAACACTGGCCAGGCTCAGCACTCACAGACAGTCACTGCAAATTCATTTGTTCCAATGTTGTGTCCAGAGCCACAGTGGGAGGAAGGAAGACAGCTCTGCCCCCCACTCTGGCAGTGCCCCACTCTGTCCTCAGAGCGTACCCACCACAGGGTCACCTAAGAGTCCACAGAAGCATCTGCCGCCTCAGATAAACCCAGGGATCCCCCAGAATAGTGACACCAAAGCCCTGCCCAGACCAGGAGTTAGTTCAGACAGAAGCCTTCATCGCTGTGTGCCCAGGGACAGACACAGTTCTCTGTGCCTTTGTGGCCTCCCTTGTAAGGTGGGGAAATCACAGAGCCACCTCCCCAGCTCACATGGAGGCTCATGGGTGACAGTGCAGGTGAAACTCTTGGCCCATTGCCAAGCTCGGAGTAAGCACTCAATAAATGTGGGGTTATATCCTGCCCCGCCTGACTTCCCCGGTAGGCCTCCCCATCCCCCGCTGTCCCAGAATTGCCTGGAAGCCTGTGTGTGACACATATGTGTAGGCCGGCTCCACGCCTCCTCCTTCCCTGGAGCCCTCCCTGACAACCACAGTGGCCCTGTCCTAGACCGCCTGCCCGTATCTGTGTGGTGTGTGAACACTGTGTGTCGCCCAACCCTCAAGTCCTCACCGTGAAGGGTTTGGCTTGGGAAATAGAAAAGAAAGTCTGCAGCTCTGCTTCTCATTAAGTTGTGACTGGATGGTCTAGCGACTCTCCCAAGGGAACCTAGTGCTCAAAAGAGAAGATTCTCACAGTCCCCAGCCAGCTATGGGACCAAAATAGTGGCTGTTTGTCCTGCTTCTCGCTGGATTTTTCTGTGTGTGTGTCTGTGTGTGTGTATCTGTGTGTGTGTATGTATGTATGTGTTGTACACACGTCTGTATCCCAGGCAGCAGAGGAAGACACCTGGTGTCCCGCTCTAGCACCCCTTGAGGCAGGGTCTCACTGGCCCTGGGGCTAGCTTGGTGGCCTCCTGTTACCCCACATGGTGCTGGTCAGAACACATGCGTAGCCATGGGTTTTTATATGGGTGCTGGGGATTTGAACTCAGATTGTCGGGTCATCTTCTTCTTTTCTTCTTCTTCTTCCTCCTCCTCCTCTTCCTCCTCCTTCTTCATCATCAGCATCATTTTCCAAGTCTTTTTCTCAAGCAACCTGCTAGGAGTGATCTGGGTTCAAACCCAGGTCTCTCTCATTTTATTTGTGTTCTGTGTTGGGGAAGGGCACATGTGAAGATCTGAGGACAGTTTTTTTGTCTGGTTGGTTGGGTTTGTTTTTGTTTGTTTTTTGTTTTTCGAGACAGGGTTTCGCTGTAGCTATCAAGTCTGTCTTAGAACTAGATCTTGTAGACCAGGCTGGCCTCGAACTCACAGGGATCTGCCTGCCTCTGCCTCCCCAGTGCTAGGATTAAAGGTGTGTGCCGCCACCGCCCGGCAAGATCTGAGGACAGTTTTATGGGTCGGCCCTCTCCTTCCCCTGCTGGGCCCCAGGTCTGAACTCAGGTGTCCCGGTGCCTGCGTCCCTTTATTCACCGTGTCATCTGGTTTTCTGACACCTGATCCAACCATGTAGCACAGGCTGGCCTGCAAAAGCGGTCCTCCCGTCTGAACCTCCCAAGTGCTGGGATGACGGGTGTCCACCACTGTGCTTGGCTGCAGGCCACCATCTCTGAGCCCTTAGTGAAATCTTGGGATGCTGAGGCTGGCAATGGAGGCTGCAGGGTGGGTATGGATACTAACTTAGATGCCCCTTCCCTAGAGTGCCTAACACTGTGTGAGGAAAGAGAGAGCCAATCAGGATCCATCGGACCCAACCCCTGCCCCTGTACCCACCGGGGACCTCCAGCCAGATCCGGTTCCTGGCTGTGCCTGTCCAGGGTGGAAGTAGAATGGAAAACTGGCCTGGCTGTTTCCTGCCCACTCCCAACTCGGGGCAGCAACATCCGCGGGACTGCTGCCCTTTGACCCCGCATCCTGCCTCTACCTCACTAAACTTTGTGACCTATGACCACTTTACTGGGAGGGAAACTGAGCCCCGAAGCACAGTAGTTGACCAGGAAAGGCTGCACACCCACATGCTTTGTGCATGAAATTTAGACAGAAGTAAAACAACCCAGTTCCCACCAGAGGCTTTGGGGTGTCACCAATCCAGTCAACACACTCCTGAGGAGCTGCGGACGGCAGGGGCGAGTGCCCACCACACAAGCATGAGAAGGACCTGAGCCGAGCACAGCAGAGCAAGCCTGTAACTCCAGCACTGGGGATCGGGGCTCCCTGCCCTGCCAGGCTAACACACTAGTGGACTCCAGTTTCCGTGAGCGACAGAAGTAGATGCCTGATGTTAACCTCTGTCTCCCACCTACACCCAAGAGCCATGCGCACGCCCTGCTGTGTTCTGATGCTGGGGCCCATGGAGACTTCAGCTGCAAACCCGGGGTGGCAGACTCCAGATGCCAGAGGGAGGAGGCTGGGGATACTAGGGATAAGTGGGCTGACAGCAAAAGGTGTGGCCAGCAGAGCCTCACATTCAAACCAGAGCTGACATCCAAGTTCTACCCATGTGACCCTGGAGTCCAGTCCCCTTTCAGGGACTCAGTTTGCCACTCTGTAACATGGGGCTTCAGTGAGCTCATATGTCCGTCTCAGTTCTTGTTCAAATGCTGTCTCCCAAAACATCAGGAACTCAGTAAAGGCCCAGGCAGGTGAGGGGATGCATGCTTGTCACCTCCGCACTCTGGAGGTGGAGGCAGAAGGGTCACGAACTCAACCTCATCCCCGGCTGCATAGAGAGCTGGAGGATATCCTGCCTCAAAAAACAAATGGGTTCTGGAGAAACGGGACTGTGGCTAACAGCACTGACTGCTCTTGGAGGGCCTGAATTCAGCTGCCAGCACCTGGTCAAACAACTCCCAACTTCCTGTAACTCCAGCTCCAGAGGATACAATGCCTGTGCAGTTACCTGCACACACACACACACACACACACACACACACACACCTCTTTTTTAAAAGCATACAAAAACCCCTCAAACTCTTTTTACAGGCTCTGAGTCCAGTGGGGTCCTATCTGTTTCACACTGAGAGAATACCCATGCGTGGTATACAGTAGCTGCTCAATAAATACTTCACAGGTCCAGAAGGAAGATGGGGGTGGGTGAGGGCTGGCCCTGCTCTGGGAGTTGTCTTTAAGGAAAATGACTCACTCTTAGTCAGTCAGCTTCCTGCCTGAGTGTTCAGAGTTCACCAGACCAAGGTTTCCATTCTGCAGATGGGGAAACCAAGGTCAGAAAAGGGGCCAGGAGTCAGACATCTAGATCTGGGAGCCAAACTCCAGGCTCTCTGCCTGGGGGTCAGGGCCCTGGCTCTAGCCTCAAGTGCTAGGGAAGATGGAGTGGCCCAGATACATCCATGATAGTGGCAGAAGTCACACAAGCCAGCTGAGCCGCTCTCTGCTGTGTCATCTGGGACTGGCCTCTGTGTCAGACCTGGCTCTTCCCCCTGGAGGGTGGGCTTTAATTCTTACCCACTGAGGAGTGCCTCGGGACCTCCCAGGTGGCCCCTCTTACAATGCACAGGAGGGAGAGAAGAGGACAAAGTCTTAACCCTACTGGAGGGAGGCAGAGGCAACAGATCTCAGAGCCAACCTGACCCACACACTGAGACCCTGCCCCAAAAAAAAAAAAAAAAAAGAAAGAAAAAGAAAAGAAAAGAAAAAAAAAGTGGACAGCAGCCAGCTTTTAATGCCAGTTCTACACAGTGAGATCCTGTCTTGAAAAACAAGGAAAAGAAAAAAAAGAAGTGGGCGGCATTTAATGTTCTCTGGCCTGCTTTGTGCACGCGCGTGTGCACACACTTGCACAACACATGTTCAGCTGGTTATCATTTTAGTTAACACTTACTCTCCACAGCGATCAGTCTTGCTGGGAGCATTCAGTACCCAACAAGTTTATCTTGAGAACTGGGTTCCAGTCCTGCGCTGGGTAACCTAGGGAAGGCAGTGCTTCCTGTGAGGGAGTCAGAACAGGATGTCCCGGTTAGGGATGCCCGCTGGGAGCCACGTACAGCATTAGGGGTGCAGCAGTAGGCTGCACCAGGAGATCCCCTAGAGTAGACACAGGAGTGGCCCTGGCAGCTAGGAGGTGAGACGGAGGCTGGGTGGCTTCCTGAGCCGACTGAGAGAGATGGATGGAACACCTCAAACGGGAAGTGGGGGACAGAACCTCGGGACAAACAAGGCTAGAGTTTGGAGAAGGTTAAGGGACGGGGACGTGTTAATTAAAGCAGATTCACGACAAATGTGCAAAAATTGGAACGCGAACCTGAGTTTGTAAGGGAAATGGTCTCTGAAAGGCGAGTCTTCTTCAGCAATGGGGAGCCACGGAAGGTTCTCATCAGGGAGATGGGCCTGCATAGCAAACCTAGCAAGGGCCCCAGAGGCTCCACTTTGCTTAAACAGCCATCACCTGGAAGCTGTAGTCCGAAAATGGACATGCAGGATGGAATTTGTAGTGTTTACAAGCAAAGGGAGGCTCTGACGTCCTCAAGAGTGGGGATGCTGTGAGTCCAAGAAGTCAGTAGTGCACAATTACTGAAATGTGTGTATGATATATTTTTATTTTATGTGTGCGGGTGTTTTACCTGCATGCATGCCTGTGCGGTGGTGTCATGGAGGCCAGAGGAGGGTGTTGGATCCCCTGGAACAGGAACTGGGAGTAAATCCAGTGTTCTCTGTAAGAGACCTGTCGACATATACTTTTTATTTTCTACATTAATGTGGGGGGCACGTGTGTGAGGTCAGAGGGCAGCTTGTGGGGGTGGGTTCTGTGGATACTTGGTGGCAAGCGCCTTTACCCGCTGATCCATCTCACCAGCTCATAAAGACTTTATGTTTCTTGGCAAGGCCTCAAACTCCCGATCCCTCTGCCTCAGCCTCCCATACACTCACTGGGCGACAAGCGTGCACAACTACGTCCATTCTTTACGGACTGAGGCCCAGAGAGCTGGGACCCAGATTCTTAAGCTGACTTGTTCTCCTCTGTGTCCCCAGGTGGAAGAGGAGCTGACGCACCTCCAGAGGAAACTGAAGGGCACGGAGGACGAGCTGGACAAGCAGTCGGAGGACCTGAAGGACGCGCAGGAGAAGCTAGAGCTGGCAGAGAAGAAAGCCTCCGATGTAAGCGCAGCTGCGGGCGCCCGCTCAGGCAAGGCGGGGCGGGCCGCGCGGGAGGACCAGGAGCCCTCAGGGCAGCGGTGGCCAGCGGTGCCGACGTCAGCCCCCCACCCCCCGGTGCTGACGTCGCGGGCCGGCCGGGGTGACCTCATCGGCCCGACGGCAGCGGCCGGGGGGCGGGGAGAGGCGGGGGCGGCCCCGGCGTGGCCAAGGCTCACGGGCCCGGGCGCGGCCGCTCAGCTGTCGCCGGAGCCCAGCGGAGCGAGCGCGCCATGGCCGGCCTCAACTCGCTAGAGGCGGTGAAGCGCAAGATCCAGGCCCTGCAGCAGCAGGCGGACGACGCGGAGGACCGCGCGCAGGGCCTGCAGCGCGAGCTGGACGGCGAGCGCGAGCGGCGCGAGAAAGTGAGCGACCCGGGCCGCGCCGTCCCCGACCCCCGCGCGACCCCAGCCTTCGTCCCGCGCTGCAGCCCCGCGCGCTCCCGGGCCGCGCAGCGTTTCTGCGCGCCCTCCTTTCTTCCCGGCTCCGCGCGCTTCCAGCTCTCCCTCCCTCCGTCCCTCCGTTTTCCGCCTGGGTCATCTGCACCCCGGGACCCAAAGCGGGCGCTGTACGCTGACCGGGCGGGAAACGGGGGATGGGGCGCGAAGCAGTCCTGCGTGGGGCTCTGCAGGGCGGCCGGGGAGGACGCCGCGCTCCCATTGTCTGCGGCCGGACCGCGGTGGGGGCGGGGCGGCGCGCGCTCTCGCGTCTTCGCGCCCGAACTTTTCTCGGCGCGTCCCTGGGGTGCGGCGGCGACGTGTCCTCCGAGGGTGGGGTGGGGTGGGGTGCAGGAGTATCTGGGCGCAGGCGTATCTGGGCGCAGGCCTGCAGCACCCTCTCACCTTGTCTCCCCAAGTCCCTGGGAATATCCACTAGGGGCCCTCCGGGGTCGGAGCGCAAGGAGTCCGGGGACCCGGGTGCATGAATACCTCCGAAAGAGGAAGCAGCCTCCTCTTTATTCCTGGGTCAAGCCTGGGGCCGGAGGCGGATCTGGATTCTAACCCAGCTCTGGCACCCACAATTCGATTCGCGTTTCTCTTCCAAAAAGTCCGGTGGAGATGGGTGGCCAGACAAAACCAGGGAGGTGAACTCGGGACGGTTCCGGGACTCCGAGAGTCCCCAGCCTGAGTACTGGAGCTACTTTTGCTGGCTAAGGAGCCTCAGACAAGGGAGAAATGTTGAGGGGACGTCTAGGGACCCTGAAAGCCTGAGTGTAGGGACTCAGGGCTGGGACCCTAGAAACTGCCGGGCCAGGAGGAGTTGGAAGCGCAGGCACCGCCTGGACTCCTCCCAAGGCAGTCTGAGCAACAGCCTGGCCCGAGTGGCAACCTTGAATCTCTCAAGGGCCGCTTTGGCTGGAGGAAGCCTCAGAACCGGGTGAGAGCTCCACACAGTAGCTGTTCTGGCCTTTCACACTCCAGTCCCACCCTAGACAGCTCCAAAATGGCCCCGAGCCTCCAGCCAAGCCAGGAATTTGGCGGCTCGGGGGTGGGGTGCGGGGGATACTTTTTGGAAAACTTGGGGTTTCTTTAAAAGTTTGTGTGACAGAATGTGCTTCTCTTCCTTGTGGGGAGACCTCTCAAGTTGATTACAGGCCAGAAGCACCCGGACCAGAAATGGGGTGGGGGGAGCATGTGGTAGACTTCTGGGCCTGTCTCCCAACAGCTGGTTTCATTTAGATTTTTGTGTGATTAACCGACGTCTTCCTGTTCCTGGGCCACAAGTATCTAGCGAGCCTCTTTTACCTTATAAGGGAAACCCTTTGTAGCCCGTGGAAAGCTTTGATTGCAGGAAGGGGCGGAACTCGGGATGACTAGCCTGGAGGGGGGGGGGGGGGGGGGGGAGGGGGGGGGGGGGGGGGGGGGGGGGGGGGAGAGAGAGAGAGAGAGAGAGAGAGAGAGAGAGAGAGAGAGAGAGAGAGAGAGAGTCGCGTACCCGCATGCGTTGCCGTTAATGATGTTTATGAACGAAAGCTCTTTCGATTTTTAAGCAGTTGAAAATGTGCCAAGATTCAGAATGTGCCTCCTCAATCTAAACTCTTTCTCTTTTCTTTGAAACAACTCCTGACTAAGAAACTCAGTGTGGCTGTGAAAGTTGATTACTACCCCGGGTGTGGCCTTGCACCTCTGCAGACTCCGCTAGAGGCGGGGGCTGTCCCTGAGTGCTACAGTGTTTGCTTAACATGCACAAAGCCCGCGTCCCTCTCCAGGACAGGGTGAACTGATAGCTGCTCCCAGCACTTGAGGTTGAGGCAAGGAAATCAGAAGTTCAAGGCCAGTCTGGACTACAAAAGACCAGGACTTAGAAAAAACGCTAGTGACTGCAGACTGCAGATGGGTATGAGGTTCTTTGGGAAACACTAGAAGTTAACAAATCAGCTAGTAGTCCTAGCTGCATACTCTTGCTAAATACGCTAGAAACTCAAGTGGGCAGGAACCAATCGTGCCCTAGTTGTTGGAATCTGGTAGGCACTGAGACGGTTCAGCTGGGTACAGGTGCTTGCTGCCAAGGCTGACCCACATGGTAGGAGAGGTCTGAGACACACAGGCACACATGTTGGGCGGTGCAGTCGCAAACTTGTGTCTGTGTGTTGACAGGCAGCCTGGCCCATTCTGTTACTTTCCCCACTGTGTGAACAGGGGCAGGGAGGACCCAGACTCCCACTTGTTTGGGGTTTTTTTGTTTGTTTGTTTGTTTGTTTGTTTGTTTTTCGAGACAGGGTTTCTCTGTAGCTTTGGAGCCTGTCCTGGAACTCCCTTTGTAGACCAGGCTGGCCTCGAACTCAAAGAGATCCGCCTGCCTCTGCCTCCCGAGTGCTGGGATTAAAGGCGTGCACCACCACCGCCCGCCACTTGTTTTTATAGCTGTCCCCATGTAGTAGTTACCCCTGAAAGGGAGCCGATAGCCTAACTTCTCCTGAGTTCCCTTCAGCTGAACCCCATGCACCTAGACACACATTGTGTGTGATGGAATTCGAGTCAGGTCTTTATGCTGGGCAACAAGAACTTCTCCTAACTGTCAGCTCCCCAGCTCCCCAGCTCCCCACCTCTCTCTCTCTTTCTGGTATGTTGACACAGGAACTTGCTATATAATAAGTAGTCCAGGTTAGCCCGTAATGATTTATCCTTTGGCTTCATTCCCCTGGAGCTGGAATCACAGGCATATGTCACCATGCTCTGCTAATTGAGTCTCATGTGACCAACTTTTTATGCTCCTTCTTGAGGTGGCCATCCCTAGGTAACTGGCCTGGCCTCCAAGCCTCTGAGGGATAAAGGAAGAAGGGACTTACCAGCCCTAAGTCACTGAACAAAACCACTGCACTGATGGGGCCTAGTATCCCCACCCATAACATGGGTGAGACTTGAAGATAAAGCAGTACCAGGGCCAGGAAGATGGTGCGGTTGTTAAAGATGCTTGCCAACAGCTGGGCTGCCTTGAGTTTGAATCCCAGGACACAGTGGAAGGGGAGAACTAACTCCCAAAGTTGTCGTCTTGACTGCTACACAGGTTCCCTGCTTCTACACACACACACACACACACACACACACACTGAATGTAACTCAGAAAAATAATGACAAAGCAGAGCCGTCAGAGCCCCCGCCCCCACAGCCTTTCCCTGTGTTAGGGATGAGCCATGCCCTTGCCTTTGGTCAGAGCCCTTAGTCCTGAGAAGCTCAGACTTTGATAGAGGCATAGAGAGCGACACACACAACCTGCCCCCTTGGCCCCGGAGCTCCTGCTCTTCTGCATGCTGTGAAAGGGCCTCCAGAAAGCCTGCTAACAGGGCAGCTCCAGGGCAGCCTACTTCCTGAGTGTTCACGAGGCCCCAGGTCCCTCTCCCACTAGGAGAAGAACAACCACAAACAACAGAAAATACCAAAAAGCCAGTAGTACTACTTGGTCTGCCCCATGCCCTTAGCACAGCGTTCCTTCCCTTCTCATCCTATCCAGCTTCACGGCCTCTTAGTGGGACCGGACTGAGCCTGTGTATGGGAGCCGACTAGGAACATGCTTAGCCGGGTCCCTTGAGACTCCTACCTTGAGCCTGAGAACCTTCTGGAACTTACTCTAATACTGAGTCTGTTGTAGGTTGAGGGTAGGCCAGCGTTAACCTGGATTTCATAGTGGGTTCTGTAGCTGAAACTGGCCTCCATCTGGCCATCCTTCTGCCTCAGCCTTCAGAGTGCTGAGATGTTGGGCTGGCCTGGAACTCACAGAGATCCGCCTGCCTCTGCATTCCAAGTGGGCCACCAAGGCTTGGGTTTCTTTCCCGTTGCAGTTAGATTCTTAGTCAGCACGTGATAGCTGCACAGGTGGTCTCTCCTTTGTTGACTTGCTTGGCCATCAGTCACAGAGTGAATCCCCAAAGTTCTCGAGTAGACGGGGTGCTTAGACTTGCCCATAGTGTCACAGCAGCACCTGAGAGACTGAAGCAGGAGAATCCCTGAGTTGAAGACCAGCCTGGACAATTTGTGAGGCCCTGTCTCACAGATAATCATTTTTAAAAATCAAATTTAAATTAAGATGAGAGTGAATTCTCTTGAGCCTGGACCCCTGGGGTGGGCTGTGGCTGGGGGTCAGGGTCACGGAGGGAAGGCGGTGGGGGCTGCCGCTCGCCAGCTTGCCATTTCTTAACCCTGCTGTGCCTCTGACTTCGCAGGCTGAAGGAGATGTGGCTGCTCTCAACCGCCGCATCCAGCTGGTGGAGGAGGAGCTGGACCGGGCTCAGGAGCGACTGGCCACAGCCCTGCAGAAGCTGGAGGAGGCCGAGAAGGCTGCGGATGAGAGCGAGAGGTAGGCTAATGCATCCGGCTTGGCTCCGTGTGAAAGGGCTGAAATCAGCAGCGCCCGTGTGAAAACCCTACTGTGTTTGCACAGGACACTGGGGCTCGCTGGCTGCCAGCCGACCTCCAGGCTCAGGGAAGGACCCTGTCTCAGGGGATAAGACAGTCATAGAGCAGGACACCAGATGTCCTCCTCTGGCCTCTATACGTACAAACAAATTTTAGATGGAAAAAAAATGTTGAGATGGTACTGGTGACCTCAAAGCTAAAGGGAAAGATGATGAGGTTTTACAGATGTGTGACAACCCTACAAACACCCCGTTTGTGTGGTGACTTTTTGGATTTGTTTTGTTTTGTTTGTTTACTTGCTTACTTTTAATTCCCTTCTCTGTTTTATTTTGTTCGAAGCAGAGTCTACCTACGTAGCCTAGGTTGGCCTCAACTCCTAGCAACAACCTTCCTGCCTCGGCTACCTGAGTGCTGGGATGACAGACGCTCTCCCATGTGTCCATCTTGGGTTTTTTGTTGTTGTTGTTATTTTGTTTTGATGATGGCCTAGGAGAACACATTCCAACAGGCAGAGAAAAGCGAAGATGAGCAGGTGGGGGTGGGGCCGCAGTGGTCTGCTGCTTCCTGGGGAAGCCACAGTGGCTCATCCCCATTCTGGAAAGGAGTTCCTAGATGATGGTGCGAAAGAGGAAGTAAAGGCAGAAGGGCAGGTGCAGCAGTGCATGCGTTTTGTTTGTCGTTTGGGTTTGGGTTTTTGGTTTTTTGGTGTTTTTTATTTGGTTTTGAAGACATGATTTCTCTGTGTAGCCCTGGCTGTCCTGGAACTTACTTTGTAAACCAGGCTGACTTCGAACTCAGAGATCTACCTGCCTCTGCCTAGTGCTGGTATTAAAGGCGTGCGCCACCACGGCGCAGTTAGCATTGCATATTTTTATTCCAGAACCAGGGAGGCAGAAGCGAGGTGATCTCCTTCTTTTGCATAAATGGCGGTGGTCCCCATGACTGGCAAGCTTCAGGCTTCCGGATGATGACAGCTGTATTTGGGGACGGTGTATACCAGCCATCACTGTGTGCGGCTGATTGTGTCACTCTAGTGACATCTGTGCTTCCACAGGGAGCTCTGTCCCACTGTTCCCCGGAGTCAGTGACTCTGGTGTCTCTGCTTAGAGGGATGAGGGCACAGTGCATAGCCACAGAAGCTCCAGACATGGACAGTGTGGCCAGCTGGCCCAGCACTGAAGGTTTACCAGTGCAGGCTCCTGCCAAAGAACTGAGTTCAGACTGCGCTGCTGTGAACTCAAACCAGACCCTAGACACAAACTAGAAGCTGGGCTGCTCCTGTCTACGGGCTCTGTACTCAACACTGGGAAAAGTCCACTTGGGCTGACGGGGTAGTCCAGTGGGTAGAGGCACTTGCTGCCAGATCTCATGACCCGAGTTCAGTTCCTGGGTGGAAGGAGAAAACCAACTCCTACAAGCTGTCCTCTGCCCTCCACGTCTGTGCCATGGCGTGTACACACCCTTGAACACACACAGCGCCCATACTGGGCAGCTCACAACTGTATATAACTTCAACTCCAGGGAACACGGTACCTCTGACCTCTGTGAGCACCTGCAGTCACGCACACACATCATTAAAAATAATAAAATAAAGCTGGGCAGTGGTGGCACACACCTTTAATCCCAGCACTAGGCAGAGGCAGGCGGATCTCTGAGTTTGAGAACAGCCTGATTTACAAAGTGAGTTCCAGGACAGACTTCATAGCTACACAGAGAAACCCTGCCTCGAAAATAATAATAATAACAATAATAAATACCAAAATAATAAATAAAATAATAATAAAACCCAAAAACAATAGGCCAGTGAGATTGCCCAGTGGGTAAAGGCACTTGCTGCCAAGTGTGACATCCTGAGTTCATTTAGTGCTTGGGACCCACAATGTGGAGGAGAACCAATCCCTGCAGGTATTTTCCAACTTCCACACTCATGCTGGGGCACATGCACTCACACACAAATAAATGTAAAATTATAATAAAAAATAAATCCAGTGTTTTATCATATTCCACATTTTAATAATATGTGTCACCAAGCCTTGTGCCCAGCTTCCATCTGGTTGTTTGTTGTGTGGGGAGTCCAGCCTCTCCTGAGACTCGCTGTGTAGACCAGGCTGGTCTAGAACTCACAGAGAGCGATCCACCTTCCTCTGCCTCCTCAGTGCTGGGATCAAAAGGCGTGTTCCGTGCCCCACCACTCCTGGCCTCTTTTTTTCCAGTTGATTCTATTTTGCTTGTGTGCCACAGATGTGTGGAGGCTGGAAAATCTGGCAGTACTGGTGGTGACAAGCGCTGCCTCACTGAGATACCTCTCTGGCTAGCTCTCCTCGTTTTTTGAGACAGGGTCTCCCAGTGAGCCATACATCTGATCAGCAAGCTCCATGGATACTGTCCCCACCTTCTTGGCAGTGGTTTTTATGTGGTGCTGGGGAGCAGGACCAGGTCTCAAGCTTGTGTGGAGGCCTTGACCCACCGCCATCTCCCTAGACCCACCGCATTTCCCTTGACCCACCGCCATCTCCCTTGACCCACCATGATCTCCTTGGCCCCACCGCCATCTCCCTTAACTCACCGCCATCTCCCTTGACCCACCACCATCTCCCTAGCCCCACGACCTCTCTGATCCACTCCAGCTGAGTTGTTCTGACCACCCTAGGACATCCTCCTTTCTGACCTGGGTGTACTTGTGCATCCTTTATCTGAAATGATTGGGGCAGAATGTACTTGGGAATTTGGTTGCTTCAAGATTGGGGGATATTTGCATAAGCATAATGAGATATTTTGAACAGGGGGGGATCCAAGTCCAAAAAGGAAGTCCATGAGTACCCTAAGCCCCTTCTACCCAGGACCAGGGTCATTTCATGCATTTCTATTGCTCACTCCTAACAGCAGCCTGGTGCGTGAGGAGTTTACCATCTGTGCTGTGACTACTCGGGTTCAGGTTGTGGATGGGCCTTAGTGGAGAACTCTTGCTTAGGATTCACATAGCATTGAGTTCCATCCCCCCACATGTCAAAAAAAAAGTTTATTTTGAAAGTCAGGCATGAGGTACATGACTTTCATTTTTGAGCACTTTGGGCTGTGCGGGTTATGCTCGCCTTCCCTGTAGTCTTTGTAGTGCAGCTTGTCCATTTTGTTTCCGTTCAGCCCTGGCTCTGGAAGCTTCCGGCAATTCCCTTCCATCCCAGCATAAACATTCTGCCCATACCAGGCATGGACATGTTCTTTCAGTTCTGTGCCTTTGTGTGCTTTGGGTTTTTGTTTTGTTTTTCTGGTTGGTTAGTTGGTTGGTTTGGAAGTTGTCTCTTTGTTCTACACAAAGTCTCACTGTCTAAACCTGGCTGACCTGAAGCTCACAGGCCCCTTGCCTCCGCCTCGAGGGCTGGAACTAACGGTGTGCCACTCTGGCTTTACTGTCTGCTTTCTTCTTCTTCTTCTTCTTCTTCTTCTTCTTCTTCTTCTTCTTCTTCTTCTTCTTCTTCTCCTTCTCCTTCTCCTTCTCCTTCTCCTTCTCCTTCTCCTTCTCCTTCTCCTTCTCCTTCTCCTTCTCCTTCTCCTCCTCCTCCTCCTCCTTCCCCTTCCCCTTCTTCTTCTCCTTCTCCTTCTCCTCCTTCTCCTTCTTTTTTAAACTTTTGTTTTATTGAAACAAGATCATGTTACAGAGCCAAACTCTATGTAATATGAGTTATAGAACTCAAAGGCCTGTCTCAGTCTCCCAAGTGCTGAGATGACAGACATGGGCCACTCACCTGCCAGGCTCCTCCAGTTCTCTCCTTACCCTTAGCTAAGCCTCGTGCAGATGAGGGCTCTAGAAAGCCATCGGTGGCTCTCAGTTCTGACTGCACCTGCTCCTCAACATTCCCACAGGTGTCACTCCATAGTGACTGCTGATGCTCAGGCTTGTCTTCAATGAGAGGAAGAAGAAAGGGGTGCACCCTGAGGAGCAGGATCAGCTCTGCTGCTTAGCAGCTTCATAACCTTGAGCCTTTCTTTCCCTCAGTTTCTTTTATCTGTAAAGTAGGGATAGTAAACCCACCACATGGAGTGATTGTGAAGTCCACCAGACATGGTGATGATGTATGTCTGTCATTCTAGTGTTCCCCAAAGCTGAGGCAGGTGTAGCCCAGGCTAAGTAGCAAACCCTGTCTTCTAAGAACTAATAAGAGGGGTGTTGGGGTAGGATTGGAGCTCAGTTGATAAAAATGCTTGCACAAAGCTGGTTCAGTCCTCAGCACCACATAAGTCAGGTGTGATGATGCAAGTCCATTGCCCCAGCACTGAGGAGGTCGAGGCATGGGGATCAGGAATTGAAAGCCATCCTTGATTGCTCAGTGACTTTGAAGTCAGTCTGGGCTATGTGAGACTCTGGCTCAAAAAATAAATGAATGAATAAATGAATGTGAGTCTGGGGAGGTTGTTCTGGGTTAAGTGCTTGCTGCCCAAGCCTGAGCCCGAGTTAGTATCCCCATCCTCACACAAAAGCAGGACATGGGTGTGTGTGCCTGTAATCCTAGCACTGAGAGGCAAAGCCTATAGGATCCTGGGCTTCCATGGCCAACCAGTCTATAGAGAGCAGCAGGTTCTAGGTTCAGCGAGAGACCCGGCTCAAAAACATACCATGAGCTGGAGAGGTGACCCTGCAGTCAAGAACACCGGCTGCTCTTGTAGAGGATCTGGGTTCAGTCGCGGCACCAGGTGGCTTCTCAATGAAATGAATATGGAAGTTGATGGGTTGGGTGGAGGCATTTGAGGACCTGGCTCTGACATCCCACCCCATTTGCAGAGGCATGAAGGTGATAGAGAACCGAGCCATGAAAGACGAGGAGAAGATGGAGATCCAGGAGATGCAGCTCAAAGAGGCCAAGCACATCGCCGAGGAGGCTGACCGCAAGTATGAGGAGGTGAGTGAGACCAGTGGGGGTGGCCACAGGAAGTGGGAGGAAGTGGTGCTGCCGATAGGAGCCCAGTGGAAGGCTGCAGTCAGGACGATTCCCTCTGTGGGAACATCTGTGTCTCCAGACACAGCCACTTAGCTGGGGAACTATCTAGACAGGTGCCAAAAAAAGTCCTGTGACCCCTTGTCTGAGTTACTGGAGACCAGTTCATCTGCGCACTCCTCTTGTTCCTCAAGCTAGATATGAGACCAGTTGGCAAATGCTGGGGTCATGGCTGCCAGTCAGGCTCTGCTGTCCCTTTTTTATCTTCTTGGACATGGGATCTGACACTAGCTCGGGCTGGCCTGGAATTCCTGATGCCTGGGCTGGCCATGAACTCTTGACTCCGTGTCCACTGCCTCAGCTTTCCAAGTGCTGGGATTATAGGTATGAAAGATACTTCTGTAGTCTAGGCTGTTCTCCCTATGTAGAAGCAAATACAAGAATGGCCTCTGAAGTCCTAATCCTCCTGCCTCCATCTCCAAAGTTAGAGAAAGGGTCTAAGGTATCTCAGGCTTGCCTCTTAACTACCTTTTATATAGCCAGGGGTAACCTTTAATTCTTGATATTTTTTTTTCTTACATCTGCATCCCAAATGCTGGGATTACAGGCTCTCATGCTTGGTTTTATTTTGGGGGGCCTCCCAAACAGGGATGAGCGTGTCCACCACACTGGGCTCTAGTCCTCCTCCCTCCATGTTCAGTGGCTCAACTCTACCTTCTTGCCTGCCTCACTTTGGGGAACCTGACATTTTCCGTCCCTTGCAGGCTCCAGAGCTCTTAGATCTGGAGGGAGCGGCATCTAAAAGGAATGGCCCATGGTGGGTGGATCTCAGCTGGCCCTTCTGTCTCTGTAGGTAGCGCGGAAGCTGGTCATCCTGGAGGGCGAGCTGGAGAGAGCAGAGGAGCGTGCGGAGGTGTCCGAATTGTAAGTGGCAGAACGGGGCTGAGCTGCTGATCCGGCTCCAGGTGGAGGAGGGAGAGTGGGCTGTGCTTGTAATTGCCTGCAGCTGGGGCCTCCGCTCAAGGGCTCAGGCAGCCAGGGTTCAGGGCTCATCCCTCCTTTTTTGCTTCATCGGCTGACAGAACATGATTGATGGTTCTTACTACCAAGGGAACCTTTGCCCACCAAGATACTGGGAAATTGAGTTGAGACCCCAGGACAGCCTAGAGGCCCCGAAATTTCCTTCTCCCAGCCAAGACTACTGTGTTTTGCTTTGCTTTCTGTTTCTGTTTTTGATTTTTTGATACAGGGTCTCTTGTAGCCTGGAACGCCTGATCTCCCTGCCTCTGACTCCTGGCTACTGGGATGACAGGCACACACTACCACACTGAGCTTTTAATTTTTTTGTTTTTTGAGACAGGGTTTCTCTGTAGTTTTCGAGCTTTTAAATTGTTGTTCCTCACAATTTATACATGTGTATATATACAACACACACACATTTTACTTTGATTACATCACACCTCCTACACCTTTTATCCCTAGTGCCCCTTCCTAACTTTCTTCTTGTGTGTGACCTGCTACAGTTATTAGATATATATATATATATATTAGTATGAGCATGGGTGGGGGTTATTTACCTGAGCAAAGCAACTTGCTGAAGAGCTACCCCATTAAAGAATGCATCTCCTCCACCCCCAGAGACCATTAACTACTGATAGCTACTTAGGCAGGGTGGGCCTCATGAGCCCATGCCTCCTCCATGATGGAATGTTGACAGCCCCATCCTGTGCAGGTCTTGGGCGGGTAACCACTGCTGCTGTGAGTTTGCAGTAGTCCTGTCTTGTGCAGAAGACAGCATTTCACAGTTCTCTTCCCCATCCTCTGGCTCTTACACCCTCCTCTCACTTCACCTCCTCAGTGTTCCTTGTTGGCTGGTTTTGTTTTGGTTTTGGTTTTTTTGTTTTGTTTTTGAGACAAGGTTTTACTATATAGCCAGGCTGGTTTGGAACGTGGACTTTTCCTGCCTTTACTTCACTTACCCAGCCAGGCCATATGATCTTCACAGAATGCCGTCTGTAGATGGCAGGTGCCCCACAAGCGGTTCAGGGCTTTGCTTCTGATATTGGTATTGGTGCTTGACACATTCCCTTTGGGGTAGCTCAGCTAGAATCCCACAGGTTCCAACAAACAAAACACCTCTCCCCTTGGCCTTGGAACAGGGATCCAGCTCCTCAGAGAGCCCTGCAGGGCTGGGAGCACCCGGGTTTCATAGATGCATTCTAGGCTTGTCCTGGAGTGTCCAGTATGAACTCCAAATGCCATCTCCCACCTCCTGGCTTCGTCTCATATGCACACCTTCCTGAGAAAGCCTGGCCAGTCACAGATTTCACAAGTCCCTATTTCCTCATCCCTGGCAGGTGCCCAGTTTGCTTTACAAACCCTCCAAGTGCCCTCCTGCCCTGCCTCTGCCTGTACCTGGCAGGAGAGGGTTTGATAAGCTCCCAGCATTCCTTGGGGAGTGGGGGTTTCTTGGAAGAGAATTGCCTGCTGTAATGTGAGAAGAAACACAGATCTTTTGTCTTGGTGCAGAAAGTGTGGTGACCTGGAAGAGGAGCTCAAGAACGTCACTAACAACCTCAAGTCACTGGAGGCTGCTTCTGAAAAGGTCAGATGGAGGGGAGCTTGCTGTGCATTGTTCTGTTCTTCAGTCCAGGCGACCTGGCATGTGCCGGGGTGTCGGCATGCAGACCTTTGCTAATGAGAGCCTTGCTGAGGCAGGCTCTCTCACTGAAGCTCATCTCTTTGGCTAGTCTAGGTAGCCAGCTTGCTCCAGGAATCCCATCTCCACCGATGGGCTGCCACAACCATCCAGCTTTTATGTGGACTCTGGGGTCTTCACTGTTCAATGCCAGGCTACGCTTCACTCACTGACTCATTGCCCCAGCTCCTTCCTGTTTTGAAAGTCTTTATTTAGTGTGCATAAGTGTTTTGCCCGCGTGTATGTCTGCACTGCAGGGTGTCAGGTCTCCCGGCACTGAAGTTACAAATGGCTGTGAGTGTCCGTTTTGGTGCTCAGAACTGAACACTGCCCCTCTGTAAAAGCATCCGGCGCTCTTAACCTCTGAGCCGTCACTCCAGTCTCCATCCCCCTCTTTTTAAGACCTGCCTTTTGGTTTCTCCCACAGTATTCTGAAAAGGAGGATAAATATGAAGAAGAAATTAAGCTTCTGTCTGACAAGCTGAAGGAGGTGAGTGTGGCTACGCCCAGCCATGTCCTACATTTTGAGGGGCTGATCTGAAGCAAGGTAGTGACTCTCTTCTTCCGTAGGCTGAGACCCGAGCTGAGTTTGCAGAGAGGACAGTTTCCAAACTGGAGAAGACAATCGATGACCTGGAAGGTAGGAATCCCCACCTCCCTAAGCAACGCCTGGAAAGCTGGGTGAAGGAGTCTGTGGAGGGACAGAGCTGGCCTTTGTTTCCAGAGAGGTCTTCAGAATTCTCAGAGATGCCTTGCATTTTTTAAATGCCTCCAGTTCTTGCTGGCTTGTCTCCCAGAGGCAACGCTTATCTTAGTGTGAAGAAAAGGAAAAAAGGGGGCCTACAGGGCCTTGGTTCCCTGGGGCAGCACACAACTCAGCATTTTGTTATTTTTTTTTCTTCAAGATAGAGCACGGAAATTCCAGACACTCGGGGTTGGGATCCTCCAGGCTGTCTCATCCAGGAAGGGAGGGAAACTCACGCTTCATTCTTCATATCCCTTATCCATATAAGGGAAAACGTTCCCTTCCAAAGGGTGACCTATGGCAGGGTGACATCATTAAATCGGCAGAAGTCATCTTGGGCCCAGTGGTGATGGTAGTGGGGGTTATTTATCTTGAGACAGGGTCTTATAGTGTAGACTAGGCTGGCCTTGCCTCTGCCTCCCAAGTGCTGGGATTAGTCGTGTGCTACCAGGCCCAGCTCACCATTATTTTAAGAGCTCATCTAGGCTATTCCAGTTCAGAGATCTCTTAGTAGTCACTCCATAGATCTGTTGGTTTGACACGGGCTCAACTCTGGCTTGGTCACACTGTTTCTCACTTTGCTCCTCTGTTTGTTGCATCTCAACCCTCCATCACCCTGTAGACAGAGTGCCCAAAAGCTCAAGTAAATAGTTATCATGAAGGATCTGAACCAGCCCTCAATGGCAAGCCTCTGTGAGGGCACACCGTGTGCCACCCTGGGTCCTAGCCATCTCCAGGGACCCACCTGCTGGTATGAACGTTAGCCTTTTCCCCTGTGTCAGACTCTGACCGGAATGACAACAGGCATCTTCATCTTCTGTCTGCCACCTCATTGAGCTGGAGCCATGTGCCTTTGACCATAGCTGGGATGAGAGGTAGAGGCTTTTTTCACTCAAAGAAAAATGAGGCCCACGTGGTCCTTTTCTGAAAAAAATTCCAAAAGCCTATCTGGTAGGGGTCCTCAAACACAGCAGTAGTACCCCTGAAACATGGACTTTTGTTTGTTTGGCCAGAGAAGTGCTGGCTTTTCAAGCATAAGGATTTGTATTCAGCTCCCGTAACCAAAGTAAACAGACTAGGTGTGTCTGGGCTTGTAGTGCTGGTACCAAGGAGAAGGGATTTGCTGGCTATCCAGTCTAGTCTCCCGAGTGACTTTCTAACCAGTGTCTGACCGTGTCTCAAAAAACAAGGTAAGGAGGCTGGAGACATGGTTAAGACCACTTGCTCTTTCAAAGGACTCAAGTATATTTCCCAGCATGCAAATGAAGTAGTTTACAACTACATGTAACCCCAGCTCCAGGGGATCTGACACCCTCCCCTGGCCTCTGCAGGCACCTACACACATCTTCATAGACACACACACACCAATTTTTAAAAAAGGTGATGACATCCGAGGAAGAGCAGCCAAGGTTGACCTCATTTCTCCTACACGGCCCTCTCCACCATCAGCCTTCCCGTTCTTCTGTGCCTTTTCCCCTAACCTAGTCTGTAAGCAGGATGGTGCTGGCGCACGCCTTTAATCCTAACACCCAAGAGACAGAGACAGGTGGAGCCTGGTCTACGGAGCAAGTCCAGGGCAGCTAAGGCTACACAGACACCCTGTTTTGGGGGTGGGGTGAACATTTTGTAAACCCTGCCCTATATACCTTGTCTTGCATATGCCCTAGGATAGTTTATAGAGACTTTGCAAGTGGGTGGGGTGCTTTTGTTGTTTGCTCTGTGTTTCCCCAAGATTTTTCCAGACAGGAATAGGCTCCAGCCTTTGAAATAACCATCCCTTCCTGTCTGTCTGATCATTCTACTAGAGCCCTGCAAGCGCTTCTACAGACCTGTGCCTTAGAGCTCAGCTCTTCCTGTTGTCTGAGCAGCACTGAGGGTCTCAAGGATAGTCTTTGGGACTAGGGTGTGGGGGCCTCTTTCGTCTCAGACCTAACTAACAACATGCTGGAGGAGGGGTAGGATTGATGGTAGAGGTCCTGGGCTGTGTCCCACCTTCATTACTGGAGCTGTGTCACCTTGAACAAGCCACTTAGCTTGTCCATCAAACAAACCTGCAGTCTGGATTACCAGGAGAGCTGTCTTAAGAACACGGGGCAGCTAGCTCCGAAGAGTACCCAGTTAACAAGTCTTCACCCAGCCTGGGTGGCCAGTCACAGTTGTTTGTCACAAAAGCTTCGGCGGCTCTAGAGAGGCTGCCATCTTCTGCAGCCTGAGGTGTTTTTCTTTCTGAGAATTTCCAGGTTGATCCTATCACAGTTTAGGAGAGGCCTTTCACTTTCTTCCAGTATTTTAATGACTCCTGGCTAGGTCCTTTACCTGCCATTGCTCACATGAAGCAGTTTTCTCTCGTGCTTGGTCATATAGAGGTCTCAGTGGCTTTTACAAATTATTGTGTTTATTTATTGGGGGTGAAGGGGGCACACAGAGGAATCAGGTTTATCTTACCTTATGGGGCCTGGGGATGGAGCACAGGTCTTCAGGCTTAGCAGCAAGGAACCTTGGCCATCTTTTTGTTTTCTTTTTTAAAATTTATTTAACCAGCTCAGTTATTGAATATTTGCCTGCAGTCTGACTTAGGCTTCAGTCTTACGTCATTTACCTGGGATTTGACTCCATTGCCAGAGGCATACAGACAAGGAACACTATGCCTGGGATTAAAACAGTAATCCTCAGACACTCCAAAGAAAAAATGGGTTACAGGATTTTACATTTTCTTGACAAATGTACTAAGTCACCTGCACCTAGGGCCAGAATCTTTTATGTGTACAGCACCTCCTGAGTTCTGAAGCATGTCCCAGTTAGTTCTCCTAAAGCCTGGATCACACACACTAGCTATTCTATTTCACAGATGCACAGACTGAGACCTAGAAAAGTTAAATGGCTCACTCTAATGGTACAACTCAGGGCTTCGGTCCAAGAGCTGTGGCTCAGGAACTGCTGGGTTTAGCAAAGGAAAATACAGGGCAGGAGGTCAAATTTGAGTTTCATCAAGGCAAAGAATTTTTTTTTTAATGGGGGAGGCGCTCGTGTAACACAGTATGAGTCGCTTCTATAGATGAATCCCAGAGACAAAACTGATCATGGAAGCGGGGACACACACCTTTAATCCCAGCACTCGGGAGGCAGAGGCAGGCGGATCTCTGAGTTTGAGGTTAACCTGTTCTACAGAGCGAGTTCCAGCACAGCCAGGGCTACTTGGAGAAACCCTGTCTCAAAACAACAACAACAAAACCCTGATTATCAGGTCTGGCAGCGAGTGCCTTTTCTTGATGAAGAATCCAACCAACCCAGGATTTTGCTTTGGGTTGGGGTGGTGGTGAAACAAGGTCACATGTAGCCTAGGTTGGCCTTAGCCCAGGATAACCTTGGGCTCTTTAGCCTTCTAGGTGCTGGAGTGTACCACAAATCCAGGCATTTGAGACAGGATCTAACTACACAGCTCTGACTAGCTTGGTACTTGCTGTGTAGCTCAGGTTGGTCTCAGACTAAGAGATCTACCTGCCTCCTGAGTGCTGGGATTCAAACAATGCACTACCATGCCCAGCCATATTTTATCTTGTCTGGTCCTTGATCTCTATTACTCCATGGTATTCTGTGTGATTAGAACACAAAGTACTTTCTCAGCTGTGACTTCCACTGACAGTTTGAGTCCCCCCCCTTAACAAAAATACTTATTAATTCATTTTTCCTTCCTGTCTTAATCCTTACCAGAAAAACTTGCCCAGGCCAAAGAAGAGAATGTGGGCTTACATCAGACACTGGACCAGACACTAAACGAACTAAACTGTATATAACCCAGAAGAAGAGTCCTGTTCTGAAACCAACTCGACTCCAGACAGTGTGCTGTGTCTTCCTTTCCTCTCTTGTCAGAAGTTCCTCTTGTTACTGTGTCTCCACCTTGCTGGAAATGCCAAGCAGATAATGAATTCATGACCAAATATTTTGTATCAGACAAGCTTTGAGCACCAGTTAAGTTTCTTTCCTTTTCCTTTCAAATGGCACCAGCTTCTTCAGCTACTCTTATTCTTAAATTGCATTTATTCTTAAAATAGGCAGGGAATTTCACACCGAGTGTAGTTGCTTACGGTTGAGAGCGTTTGGTTCCTGGGAGTTAGTCAGCCCCACACTTTGAAGCACAGGCTCATGTATCTGATAGATCTGATCGCTGTTGGGGAAGTTATGGGAGGCTGGGGGTTGTCACAAGAAAAAGTGTGACTATTTTCCACCCAGAGCAAACATTAAAAACGGGCTACTGTGGGAAGTAAAGCCATAGCGAGATTAGCCCAGTCATGCCGAGTTGGCTCCACATTCCACTGTGCAGGACAAACTTCCTGTAAGCATTCCATGAGGATGCCGGAGTGATTGCCCATGTGTTTTCTGATCGATCCTTGATGCTGTCCCATGCATATTTTCCTTTCTCTCCAAAATTGTCCTCTGAGGAGCAAGTGTCCTATTCCAGGGCTTGTCTGCTGTGGTCTAATGACATGCTCACAAGGGAACATGGCAGAGTCCAGTCCTTTCCAGATCAGTCATGTCAAAGACGGCTAGCAAAGCCAGGCACAGTGATGCTCATCCTTAATCCCAGCACTTGGGAGACAGAGACGGTACGTCTCTGTGAGTTTAAGGCTGGCCTAGTCTACAGAGTGAGTTCCTGAGCTACACAGTGAGATTCTGCCTCAAACAAAAAGATTGCTAGCCACGAATATATTGAGCAGACATTTTAACAAATGTTGGGCAACAAAAAGTGTCTCCAGCAAAATGATAGAAAAAGAAATTGGTTTAACTTCATCTCCATTGTTCAGGGAACAACAAATAGAAGCTTGACTTTGCCAAGACTTGAATCCCTTCGGGAATGACACTAATGAAAGACCAAGCAACTCCTGACTGAACTGGATGTGGAGTATTCTGTAGGCTGCACATTTTTGGCTTTGTTGTAGTTTTGCTTTCTCAGTTAACATCTCAGACTGAAACATTCCACATTCCCTAGCAGTGTGGGGACAACTCAAGTTTACAATTCCAACTGAAAAACCGCCCTGCTTCTAGCTTAGCTGAACCCCTGTCCCTCACTCCTATTTATTAAGCATCACACTACCAGGGAGATGAACTTTTAGCAAACTGTGCAATTGAATAAAACCTACTCTATTCTTTAGATTCTTGCAGTTGTATCATATGTGATAATATCACTTTTTCTACATTTTGGTCAAATAAATTTTTACATAAACAATGTGTATGAGTTTATTCTTTTTTAGTTCTTTGGCAATTTTGTGGTTATATGTAATACATTCTTGTTATTACACACACACACACACACACAGCCTCCTTATCTCCTTCCCACACCTTTACCTCCTACTTCCATCCCTACCAGTCTCATTTAGTTAAAAACCAAGGCTGTCTGTGATTGTAGGTTTGGAACTTTCCACTGAAGCCTGGTGGGATCATCAGTGGGTACACAACCATTTCCCCTTTTCCTGAATCTATCATCAAACTAGTTCCATACTGAGGGATGGGCTTCCCAGGCCCCTCTTCCTCCAACACCTGGCTGTTGATTGTCCCATTTTTGTGCAGATCAAGTATGGACATAGTAATTCAGTTATGATGATGGCTGTATCTTGCCCAGACGCTATCGTTTCCCAGCCCTTCTCCATTCTGGCTCTTGCATTGTTTCCATCCTCTTCTACAGTGTTTCCTGAATGGTATAAGCCCCCCCCTTTTTTTAGTTGTGTAGATATTTTTAAATATCTGTTTATTGTGCGTGCACTTGTGCATTGAAACGTATACCATGGAGAGTATATGGAGGTTAGGGGACAACCCAGAGTAGTTGGTTCTCTACTCACCATCTGAGTTCAGGCTTGGCAGAAATTGCCTTTTCCCACAGAGCCCAGCTGTGTATTTTAAGACATGCAGGCACACAAACCATCTTGTTCAACAAATGTTAGTAGAATGTAAAGTGAAAGAGACTGCCAAGAGCTCAGCAAGTAGCTTCTCTGCCTTCTGCTGTGACTTCATGGTACAAGGATTATTAACCACACTTCAGGTGGGAGCATACGGCTGCTGTCACTCCGATGTCCCGTCCTCTGTGATTCCTAACCCTGCCTAAGCTGGGTTGAGCAGAGTGGGAGGATTTTAATAGATGGTGAGAGAAAGGTTTCTTCTGCCCTAGTTAGGAAGGTGTGAGGCCTGTTGGGACCAGGCTTCCTGTGGCACACACAAAGCCAAGCAGAAAATAGAAGAGTGAACGGTAGACTGGATCCATGTGATAAAAACTGGAACTTAGTTTGGTCAGAAATGGAAATTAACAGCAGTATTAGGAAACCTGCTTAGCATTTCATTCAGAAATACGGTGACTGGTTTTACAGGCAGGAAGGCAAGGTGGGAGAATGTCACTGACTCAGGATAAGACGCTGGCAGGATGGTGCAGGGTAAACGTGCTTTCTGTGTAAGGCTGACCACCTGAATTGGGTTCCTGGATGCCACTGTGGAAGGTGAGAATCAACTCCCCAAAGATGTCCTTTCAGGGCTGGAGAGATGGCTAGGCAGTGTTCTCAGCATCCACACTGGGCAGCTCACAACTATCTGTAAACCTGGTTTCAGAGGATCCAACAACCACTTCTGGACTCAAGGGCATTTGTACTTATGTGATACATATACAGATAAATAGGCATACACACATATACATGAAATAGAAATAAAACTTGTCCTCTGAGTCAGGCAGTGGTAGTACATGCCTTTAATCCCAGCACTTGAGAGGCAAAGGCAAGAGGTTCTGAGTTCAAAGCTGCCCTGGTCTATAGAGTGAGTTCCAGGACAGCCAGGGCTACATGGAGAAACCATTTTGAAAAACCAAAAAAAAAAAAAAAAAAAAAGGGGGGGGCCCTTTGACCTCAACTTATAAGCCACGGTAGGCATGCACCTGTACTCACACGAGATAAGACATGTTTGTAAAGGGGAATATCTGCAATAGCAGTTGCTGAGAAGGGGAAGTGATCTTCCTGTTTGGCTGGGTGGCAGGGGACATGGAGTAATAGCCTGTCATCCACTACAGTTTCACTCCTGCAGTAGTTCTAATGTTTTGCTTCAGAATCTTACCTTCAAGGGGATCAGGAGAGTGAAGAAAACGGAGGTTTTGTTGGGTATATTGCTGCAGGCTAGCCTAGGCTAGAGTGAGAACCTGACTCCAAAAGAGTTAGATGGGATGGTTCACACCTTTAGTTCCTGTACTCAGGAGGTAGAGGCGGGCCAGATCTCTGAGTTCCAGGCCAGCCAGTAATGTTTGAGACCCTCTCTCAAGACAGAGAAATGAAAGTCTTCAAAACATTAGTATAGAATGCAAACCATTTTCTTAACCAAATATAATTAAGAGCTTCCCTAATCAGTGTGAACAGCATGAGTTTAGATGGTACAGATGTCTTTAAATAGCATGATCCTCTCCTCTGAGCACCATACTATTATAAGATCAAAGTTCTTACTCCATGTGGTCTTTGCTCCTTCCTCATCCCACTCGGTTGAATTCTAACTAAACACAGGATGGTTTAAGTCACTTTTGTACCTCAGCACTTGAGGCTTTGCTTACCACCACGATGGGAGAATTGGAGCCAGTGATGTGTGACTGTAATTGAAACTTTTTTTTCTCTCTCTTTGGTGATGACTTAGAATATACTTAGGTTTGGCAAGTTTTGACAGACACTGAGAAGGCTAAAATAACAACAAAAAGGGTCTGGTGTTTGCTGACTTGTCCCAGTCTTGAGGGGTCCCCAATCCTCTGAATTATGGATAGAAGAAAGTGAGGTTAGGACCAGATTGTGAGGGGTGGACAAAGGCACAGATGGATTGGGTGACCATTAAGAATGAGCACACAGGGTGCATTCTAACGTGGGCATGGAAGGGTATGATAATGTGACTATAGTAATGGGAATGGATTTGAACCTCTAAGAGTGTGGGCTAGGGAGATGACTCAGTCAGTAATGTGTTTGTTGAGTAAGCATGAGAACCTGAGTTCAGTCTTTAGCACTCATGTGGAAAAGCCAGGCATGCTGGTCTGTAGCTCTAACCCCATCACTGGGGAGACGGAGACAAGGCTCTCTGGCTAGGAAGTTTAGCCAAACTGGCAAGCTTTAGGTTCAGTGAGATCCTGTCTCAATATGGTGGAGAGTGATTGAGGAAGACAGCTGACAAAGTCAACCTCTTGCCTACATGCACAGTCATACACACTAAGATAGAAATACACAAAGAACCAGGATATGAGATTTCTAAAAGTTTCAAAAATTATTTCAGTTTCACCCACAAGGTAATTTAGAACAAGCTAGTCTGGATAATGACTAGAAAGCAATTAAACCTGGGCAATGGATGAGTAATTTATTTTTTTAACACTATTTACTCATGTATTATGTGTGTACGGGTCTGGGGACGTGCTGCATGCCATAGCATGTTTATAGATGTCAGAAGACAACTTGCAGGAATTGAGTGTCCTCTTCCACTACTTGAATTTTTCCATCAGTTTGTTTACTAAAAATATAGAATGAATGGTTCTGTGCTTAAATGTCATTGTGAGGACATGAAGAATTCCATCAGACTCTTCATAAACACTCTGAACAGAAGTAGAGATGTAAACAGAAATGACTGCCAAGACAGTATCATTGCAGACACAATCATCTTATAGTCTGATACTACTTACAAGTCCATCAACTCACAGAAGGACTATCAATACAAGATATCTTTTTGCACTTCCCAAATGGTTCTATATTTCAGCTGTTATTGTCAGTTCCCACAGCCCAACTTGGTATTTATTTATTTATTTATTTATTTATTTATTTGGTACACAATATTCTGTCTGCGAGTATGCCTGAAGGCCAGAAGAGGGCACCAGACTTCATTACAGATAAGTTGCGAGCCACCACGTGGTTGCTGGGAATTGAACTCAGGCAGGACCTTTGGAAGAGCAGGCAATGCTCTTAACCTCTGAGCCATCTCTCCAGCCCCGCCCGACTTGTTCTTAACAGAAGAATGTTTATGTCTGTTGAATCATTCTTATACCTTTCTATGCCATGTCATCTACAGGCAGGAGAAACTGTCACTAGGTCCTTCATGTCAGGCATCCACTTGTGACTTCCAATCTGCATATGCTTTAAGATATATGGAGAGACTCGCAGTAGAGCCACATAGACTAGAGGAGATCATATCCGTATGCATCTTCTGCTTAAATCCCTAGTCCAGCTTTGGCCCAACACTCTTGATCCAGCACATCAAGGCTTCAGCTCCACAGCTTACAGGCACCCCACCCTGCTTCCCCTTCCATATTGGCCACCTTGAACCCCCACCACACAGATCTTAAGACTCTAATTCAAGTTGTCAAGTTTGGTGTTTCACAAAGTTATCTCACTGGTCCCTGGATGAGGTATTCAGAATTATCACTATGGAGATATTAGAAGCTACAGGAAAAAAGCATCCAGAAAATGACAGTCAGATGGAAAGAATCTTGCAGAACACCAATATTGAAACACAAACAGGAATCTACAGACATCTGCAGTACTTAGTGAAGGGGCGATGGAGAAGAGAGAAGAGAGAGGCAGCTAACCTAAGAGAGTACCAAGAAAAAAGAATTTGCGGAGGTAGTCAAGAGAAGCAACTATCACAGAGGCTGAGGCCTAGAGAGTGGGCATCAGTTCTGATGGAAACTTCCCAAGCAGAGGCAGATAACTACAGTAAGCTGAATGAAAAGGGAGAAGAGGCAGAGGCCAGCTTCCTGTATGTCCTTGGGTCAATCTCTGCCTTTCTAATGTTCCGCAGTAACCTAAAAGTAGACTACCTCTGAGGAATAGGAACCCACAGATCAAATTCTTGCCATTACTCCATGGTGGCCTGAGCTCAGAAACGAGTTTCTAGACTGGGAATGGGTCAGCTTCAAAGCACTTGCCTGGCATGCACAAGGCCTCCTTGTTTTTTATAGGTGCAACCCAGGCACACCTGCTTGGATTTCCAGGCTCTTGTATATACCAGGACAAAGGATTGCACCAGGGACGTAAAAATAGACAGTAAGAAAGAGATAGTGCTTTTGAGAATGAGAGTAGACTTGTGAGCAGAAAAGAGGCATCCTCTCAAAAGCTACAAGACTCATGACCAGCCTCTCCCACATATGTATACGGTGGCCTTTTCCGCACATGCTGTTTGTTACAGAAAGTCCAGGTCGAAAAGAAATTCCAGTTCTCTGCCACTTGGCTTTCTGTTCGTCATC